AAGTTAGATACTGAGTTTAGGATGATGACGGGATTTTACGCTTCCTTAACCATTTTAACATTGCTTGCGATTTTTCTTTACTCCAGTTGCAAACAGATTCCCTAATGAATTGCTGCCGTTGTAAATATCATAGTTAATCCTGAAAATTGATAAATTATGTAGGTTGCTTTCTACAGATTGGCTGGTAATGTTCCTTTTCTATATCCATCTTAGCTTTGGCGGATGTTCGTACCTATTGTTTATCTTTTTTTTTTCCACAAACGTTAACCGTTATATATATATAATAAACCCTTGATAGTACAAGAATTAATTACAAAAAGGGGCTACTACCCTCATTTGCTTCCTCACTAAATCCATCAGCCAAACTGGGAAATCTTGTTCCCATTCTATGTCATCCACTAGCTGTACAGCAAACTTAGCTAGAGCATGGCTGATTTCATTCTCTGTTCTAGGTAAAAACACAAAACTACACTTTTCAAAATGAGTTGTCAAATCCTGCACATCTTCCAGAATAGTTGCAATGTTACCAACATACCCATTGCCTCTATGTATCTGGTCTAAAACTGATTTGCTATCAGAATGGATTTTAATTTTAGTCCATCCTTCCCTCTTAGCCATCAGCATTGCATTTCTAATTGCCAAAGCTTCTTCCTTCATTGGTTCCCCCTTATATTGGTTGACTATTGCCTTTGCTTTCATGATCCTTCCGTTCCACTTTCTTGCAACAATTCCTTGTCCCGTCCTTATCATCCTTGCTGATATCGCAGCATCTGTGAACAAGCAAACTTCATCCTCCCTTGCTGCTTGTCTTCTTGTTTGAAGCTCCCTGTTGATTTCCGTATCACTTTGCTCTATTTCTTCCATCCTTGCTTGCTCATATTCCAACAATTCCTTGTTCGTACCTATTGTTTATCAGTGTCACATTTTGGGATACTTAATTGCTCAAATAATTATAATACAATTTCACAAGAGTACTTACATTTCCTTAACATCTCAAAAACAAAAAAAAATCTTCTTTTTTATGGGCCATCGCACATGAAAAAGAAACTTGTGTGCCTTTTTTAATTCCAATCCTTGGACTTGGAGAACTGGAAGTGTAATTTTGGCCACTACACGTGGCATGTGCAGCAGTCCCGTAGCTTAAAAAAATAATTTTTCTTTGCAGCCGCATCTTCCTAAAAGAAGAAAAAGCGCCCCCAATTCCCCTATTTGTGCAACTTTTTTTTTTAATTCGAAGAAATTTGCCCTGATATCATAGAGATTTCTTTTTGTGTTTAGTAGAAAATGAGTGGCATGCCAATCTTAAAGTGAAACCAATTTGAGCTTCCAATGCAGATTTTGGTACAAACATATACATATTACTAATTTGTCAATGTCAATGTGGCAAATGATTCTAGAGGAACAATATAGGGGCAATCGCCAATTTAGTACTCAGAATTGAGGATTAGATCACACAGTAATTGATCTTAGTTTAGTATATTTTTTAAGTTCTGTATTAGGTTCATTTTATCAAAAATTCATATTTTTTCTTTCCAATTGAAAAAAATTTGAAAATTTTCCTCAATAAAAATCTAAGTATTTGATCATTCCTTTTAGAACTTTTCCCACACATTAAATTGACCGTCCAACACATCCATCAATTATCCATAGATATTTGCCCCACCTAACTCTTGCAACCCAACTCCTTTCATATGCTCTAATATATAAAGTGGATTGCTTCACTTCATTTGAAGTCAATGAAAGAAAATATGTTAATTAATACAAGCATGCATAGAAATTCCTATCTGGCTTATATGTGAAAATAAAATCCTTAGTTCTTTTTAACTCCAAAAAATTGCTTCTAGCCTAATTCTATCAAATGTAAACCATTCTTTTTGGTGAGCAAGTTGCAACTTATGAATGTCCCTTAACAATTTAGGAAGAAATCATATAAACTAAAACTATCAAATTAAAAGAATAATAGGAAAAATATATCTCTATTTTAGAAACAACTTCACCCACAAAAATGGTTTCCCTAAACCAGCGTTTGATTTGCAAAAAATCAGCTATAAGGAGGTAAAAAACTTCTGTTTCTACTAGAAAGTTAAAATTTGTGTTGATATTTCTAGATACCTGACCTGACTGTAATACTTTCTATCTACACATCATGTAAAAAATATGAATAATCATCTACAAAAATTATTAGCTTTAATAAGTAATTATTCAAATTAACCAATAAACTCATAAGCAAGCAATGGTAAACTACATGTAAAACGTTCTCAACATATTTCAATTGCTATCTTTTAGGAGACTAAGAATTTCTTTTTTTGACCAATGGAACTACTTAGAGAGTACATAGAGGTTTAAACAACAAATTGAAGAAATTGAATTTTGATTTAGTCCAGTAGATAGGAGAGGCTCATTCTAATCTTCCCAACTTTTGTTTGGTTAGAGAGTAAAGTTTAACATATTGCCACTTGATTCTGCTTGCATATCTACTTACATATCTATGAAGGAAATATATGTAAATTCTATGAAAATATCACTTTAGTTATTCCACTTGAGGTGTTCCGTACACTAGTTACTAGCTGTTGACTTTTCAATGAATGTGAATATTTATTTTTTTTAATTTGCTTTTCATAAATAGAAGTCCTCCTACTTACAATCGCTCCTCCTTTGCCACCCAATACCTCACATGTAAATATTCATTAATCATTTAGTTTTTTATTATACTATCACTATTTATTTGATTGTTTGTCAATGTTTTTTATTCATTTAGAGGTAAGACTAAGCACTTTTTAGTAGTGCTAAACATGGGGATAACAGTACCAACATAACAACTAAGAGCCAGCAGTTGGAGGACATTAGAACCTTCGGTAAGCAAAATTTGCAAAATATATTGGTTTCCACTTTATTGATGGATATATTTTGAGATGGAATCTGATGTTCTTGTGTGCAATTACCTTGCAAATTATTGGTAAGGTTTATATTTGGACAAATAATATATTATATTTTTTTACGTTTATACTGTTTTAATTTTTTTTATATTTGGTTTGGGATAAAACACTCTTACGGTGTTTAATTTCTTTTAAATTTGGTTTGAAATTATTTATTTAAAATTTTATTACTTGATTATGTAATTAGTTTTGTGAGAAGTTGATTTTATTAGAAATTACAGTAGTAAATTAATAAATTAAAATTTAGTTTTGGGTCATTTCGGATTGACCCGCAAACCCGAAATTTTCGGATTCGCGTCAGGTATCCTGACCCGTTTCGGATTGGTGGGTCAGGTTCGGATCAGCGGATTTTTTGTTATACTTGGGTCTCAACCTGACCCGCCAACCCGAATTCAACCCGATTGCCACCCCTAACTGAAGCCATAAATGTGGTGACAAAAAAGAGAGAATAAAAAAAATACATCGATTCCCAACTGAAGCCATAAATCTGGTTTATTATCAATTGTAGCCCTAAATTAGAGGTAACAATTTTCGACACGACCCAAAAATACGACACGAATTTAATACGAAATTAATGGGTTTAAATTAAGTCTTCACGGGTTCGGGTCGAAATTGGGTCAAACCCGTTAGACTCGAAAAAATCAGGTTGAGTCTAGGTCAATCACGAGTTGACCCGATTGACCTAGTTAACCTGTTTATAAATTAAAAATAATTTAATTAATGGAAAAAATATTTTATCAAAATCCTAATTCCTAAAATATCTGACCCTATTACCCTAATCTGTTTGTTTTCTTTCTATGTTTTTCACTTTTCTAAAACTCTAATTCGACTATAATAGAAAACTAAGCCTAATTCTAGTTCAGCTATACTATGGTCAACATAATCTTAGCTTTTATTATATGAAACTAACGACTCAACATTAACTCCAAGTCTCCAATACAAGATGCAATTCAATCCGGCCATGGATTGAATCGGGTGCATAGGAAATCCGGCCACGGATTGAATGGCGAATCTAGCCATAGATTGAGTAGCGAATCCGATTTACTCTTTACCTCTCTTCACTTGTGTCGATAACTTGCATGAGCGTATAGAGTGTTGAATCTTCATGCTCAAGCCCTCGAATGCTACTTGTATCACCCACTTGAGCTTGTACTTCACGAAATAAGGTTTGGAATGACTCCCTAAACTTCTTAGCACGAACTTTTGTCATTGGACCGCTTGGAATCAATTGAGCATCACTTGAACTTAAGACTTTCGAGTTTCGACCTTTGAGGAGCTTGATCAGCCATGGATCTGTCGTCATTACCTTTTGAGTATGATTGCTCATTGCTTGAATGGATTTCTGAATTTGGATAGGCAATTGACATTACTTATTATTGGAGGTTATTAGTCTGATTAGTAGTAGTTCTATGCTTCTATTTTAGGTGATCAACTTTGATAGGAGAAACAAAGCTTTTGGGTTAGACTTGGGTATTGACTTACATATTGAACTCTTTGGTGGATTCTCTCGAGATCCTTTATCAAATTGGTATCAGAGTTTCAGGTTGCGAGACTGAGCCACTCATGGTTAAGTAGATCCTTCTCAGAGTTGGACCGATGAAAATTTTCTTCTTGATAGTGGACCAAAGTACCAAGGATTTTGGTTGATGTTGGACCAAGTGTGCCATGGATTTGGTAGAGGGTCCAGTTGGGGTTAGACTAAGGAGTCAAGGGCTGGCAGGGGTCCAGAATGCAATTTGGATGTTGAAGAAGATTGGGTCTATGATTAGGAGAAGATATGATATTAGTTGATAAGGTGGACTTGCGTTGAGTATTAAAATGAGTTCGAAGAAGAGCTTGTAAATTTGGGTTTAATGTGGGGATTACTCATGAAGGGGAAGATTTATTAGGTTCATAAATAAAAGATCATGTTCCACATTAGTTTGAGAAATAGAGAAAGAGCGGTTAATATATAAATAAGAGTCCAAAACCTAAAAGCTTAAGATTTTGGATTAAAACTTGATTCCTGACTTATATATTGGGCTCTTTGATAGATTCTCTCAATATGTTTTTTCCTATCAAACTTATCATTAAAATTTGGCATGTCGAAAGGGTCAGCTTTGGATGACCCGCGAACATTGTAATTCAAGTTCAGGTCGGCGAGTTGTCTGAAATATCCGTGTTTCAACCCGATCCGCCAGCCCGTGAAACGGCTAACCCACACAAAGACCTTGGCCGCAAATTTCCCCGTCTTCTTCTTCAAGCGGTGGAAGGCTTCCCTCCACTTTTCGACAGGTTTTGAAACATCATCCATGGCTGCTTTGTACGTTATTCTTCGCTTTCTTAATTTACTAATTTTTTGGGTTTTTAACCTGATTTGGGTTATTTTACGTTTCTGATTTTAGGGTTTAATTTCTGTTTGTTTGTTTGATCTAGGGTTAGTCAAAGATTTGAAAAAAGTAATTCTTTTGATATTTTTTTTTGTGATACTTATCATTTGTAATCTGTTGCTCTTGCAGATTGGGTGCTTTTAGGTCAATGGCTCGCAACTCTGCAGATAAGCTTTTCAATAACCGTACGTTACTGTTGGACACCATAATATAGTTAGAAATTGACTGTCTATTCTAGTTCCAGTCAAACTCACAAACTCACTGGCTGAATTTCTTATTTCTTGCTTCAGCTGACATTGTCGTGGCTGTCGTGGGTGGTGGAGCCGGCCTTTTTTTGGGACATTTCGTGGCAGCTCCGTATGTTTCTAATCGAAATTCTTTCTACTCTTCAATGAAAACCTGTGCAAGTCATTTATCTGAAATCTATAAAATGCCTTATTAAAAGTATATACAATGTCTTGTTATACCAATGAATTGAATTCGTGTTGTTTCTTGTATACGCCAAAACTTTCAAACTGGCTTCCAAAAGTATTTTGAGTGTCTAGACATCATATAAATATAAAATTTTAATTTAGTCCAGTTGATAGGAGAGGCTCATTCTTATCTTCTTGACTTCTGTAATATATTAATTTACTGCCATCTTATTCTGTTTTGCATATCTATGAAAGAAATATAAGTTAAAACCAAAATGTCACTTTTAGTCATTCTATTTGAGGTATTCTGTAGGCCAGTTGCATGTATATGCATGATTTACAGTGTTTTAAGTCTTTTCTGTGTTTTAAAACTTTCTATAATTACTTTCAATGAGAAGTTCAAATGAATGACAAGTGCATTCATATTAGTCATGTGATGGTAGACATCAATTCTAGGTGGTTAGCAATGTGATTTTTGCTTTACAGCTAATTGTGTTCCAACATCTACCACTAGTTACTAGGCATTTGACTGTTTGATGCATGTGAATATTTTTTAATCACTTAGCTTTTCATTGTACTCTTGTTGGTTGTCTCATTGTTTGTCAATGTTTTTGGTTAATTTACTAACAGTTTCCTTTTCTTTGTTGGGTACAGTGTGTTTAAGAAGTTATATGGCCTTGACCGAGTGTAAGATTTCCCTACTCACCCAATGAATGGTTTCCTTGTGGAGTATTTCGAAATGTAGAAACATTTCTTTATGTGACATGACTGTTGTTGGTGACTTTTGGGAAGAATATCTACCTAACAAATTTGTATTCTTTTTCACCTTAATTCTCCTTTTCTTGTGACATCCTGGTACATGTAATTTTTTTCCCTCTAACTATTTTGCATCTAATGAAAAGCATCTGCAAATGGAATTATTCAGGGCTGCCCTTAACTGAATAACTTGGGTTTCTTCCAGCATGCTTTATTCTTCCACTTTTCCCTATTCAACTCTTCAGTCTCCTTGCAGAATTCAAGCATTTTCTGGTCAAATCTAACCTACTGTTCATTCACTATCTCCAATTGGGACTGTGTGTATCACACAGACGCATATTAGTCCAATGATTGGAATCTGTATTCAATTAAGCATGCTTTTGTATGAGCAGTACATTGACAGGTAGGAAGGGGTACATTGTGTTCCCATTTAATTCCATTTAATTTTTTTGAGCAAAAAATATGGAAAAAGACAATGAGAGGTCATCAGTTTGACATGTGGTTTTTCTATAGGGCGTCATCTTATGTATTGAGTAATAAATGATTTTATCAGAGTTTTTCTAGTAAGAAAAAGATATATGTGCATGATGAAATCTGAATTGCAGATCTACATCTCCATAAATGTTTCTTTGATCAATCTTAGCTGCATTTTGGGCTTAGTTAATGAGTGTTCTGGAGTTTCCTCAACCTCTATGTGGTTTTCGAAGGAATCTAAATAAAAAATCATGAGTGGGCACAAGGCACCAGGACATTAAGGATGTCAGTTAGCTATTAGGAATATCAGTTGCATACATTCTCCCAGGTTAGCTATTTTTCTGTCAGTAAAAATGCTTTATAAAGCTGGTTTGGCCAAACTTTTTCTTTTGTCTGTTTCCTGTGTCTGGGTTGGGGGCATGGTAGTTGAGATTTCAATTTTAGAGGAAGACCTTGATTCAAAGTAAAGAATTTTATGAAGCGTGGTCATGACTAGAAGGATGTATGTTCTTGAAGTCTTTTTGCACATCTTTAACTGTTTGGTGAATGGTCACTTCTTTGTACCAGCCCTATTCTCTCTGTTTTGGAGCAATGAATTGAGGACAACCTAAGGACTTTTTGTACACTGATTGAAAGTTTTCTCAAGTTGATTTTTTTTATTATCTCATTTATTGGCTACTTATGTGACAGTTTGTGTATGGCTTTCTAGTTTGTCTTTACCCTTTCTCTTTGAACTAATTTTTTCCTGCTACTATGGTTTACAGGGAAAATTTCGTCTTGACACAAAAAGAGTTTGAAGCGAAGTATGATCTGAGTTAATAAATTTTGATATGGCATAGATTTATTGAGATAGCAATATTACACACTCTGCTCTGCTTATTGTGTTGAATATTTGATTTTGTGCTAATGCTACGTCTTCAAGATGGGTAGATAATTAATCTCTGGTGAAACATATATGTGGAAGACTCTCTTGCTGGTGCTGATCACATAGAATTCAAGTGATTTTCTTTATCATGAAACAGTGTCTGACTAGGACTTCGTGTGCTGGCTTCTGTTTTTCCTTTAAAAAAAGGAGTAAATTTCTGAGTCTGACTTTCATAAATGAATGCATAATTTGTCAAAAGTATTGAGGCTTAAACATGTATTTGATGAAGCAAAGAGATTGAGCTTATTGACTTCTGGAAGCCTTGGATTGTAAAATTTGTAAGAGCTTTGCTGTTTAAGTTTCTAAAATTTACAATACAGGTTTTAATTTTATTTGGCGAAACTAGCGTTCTACTCATAGTTCCTGATTGTGAAAATTGCTGCCAAATTATTATTCCACAAGTGATTCTGCTGATAAACGTGCAAGGGACATAGCTAGTTCGGATACATCTTTCCACGTGAAACCAGATACTGGCAAGGGTTCAGTACAGTTTTAGGGTTAATGTGCAAATTTTTGCAAGCAACCGCATGGAAATACTTAAAAAATAATGATGATGGTAATTTCTGTTAGCAATTTTATTCAATAGCTTATCTTCATATAAGTGATAGCTCCTTTTGATACAAAGAAACTGCCTGTAGGGGTCGTAGGGGACAGATTGAATTGCTATGTTGTACAGTGTTTTTTCAATTGAACTTCTAGAATAGGTTTGCAAATATATTATGTCGTTTTGAAGGTTTCTATGTTGTTAGCAATGAAGAAAAATTGAGGAACTTTTAGGGACTATATTTATGGTCTTAAAGGGGGTTTTTTGTTGGGTTGGTATACTTACTGATTTGTCAAAAATGATGTTGAGAGGGAAAAGGTAAGAAGCCTTCAGGATGCTTTCAAAATTGAAAGGTAGAAATTTAATCTTAGCAACATTTTCAGACTGATAATTTTTTTTAATCCTCGTACTGAACTTTGTGTTTTATATTCTCCAATTTAATTCCTAGTAAATTTCTTTTCGTATGCTTGGTACGGCATAGTGTTTATTACCATTTGGTGTATATGCATATATATGATGGTCATTTTAATTATGGTGAATCATATTTTGTGTCAGGGAGCTTTATTGGCAAAAAATAGCAGAATTGAGGTGAGTCATAAACTGACTTATCATCTAACCTGTATTAGCAGTTGGTTGTATGGTTGCAACTTATGTACTGAACAACTGTGGTGCTATTTTGTCAAATATTTGTCTGCTATCTGCTGTCTAATTGCAACTCTGTTCATGCTGCAGTTGCCAATTGGATTCTTTAGAAGAAAAGAAGCGCCTAAGGTTTTTTTTTTTTTTTTTTTTTAACTCGACCTTCGATGCTGCATAACAACTAATTTTTTGTATGAAGCGGCAATTAAATTTTGCATGTTGTGGTGAATTGAGATATGTCACTCCATGAATTGGGAACTCCAATCTGTTTGCTTCTGATATCATAACTTTGTAAAACGAATATGGGATTTTAGTTGGATTGCAGTGCTCATTATTTGTCTTTTTCTTGATTTGTTGTTATCGAAGCAAGCGATGGAACTTTTTCCTTTGTATCATTGTTATTGTATGCTGGAATGCATGTTTTGAGATTACTTTTTATGTTTTTTACTTGGTACTCGCAATGTCTATCTTTATTATGTTACAGCTTGCTTTGTTAATGGACTTATGCTTGAAGTTTACCCAAGTTGCTTTGTAATCAGGGAAGCTGGAGGAGTTGGAAATTCTCAGTGATGAAGGCCGGAATCGATACGATGACGTCAGCAAATGGAATCCATCTAATAGTTCTAACTGTTGCTCGTAACTGAGAAGTCTGACTTGTTTTTCAAGAATGCGCATGTAATTAAGCGGCTTATAAATGATTTATGTGGTTGTAATATTATATTTTGTCGTGGGGTGCTTTCTTTGGTTTCTTGGAGAAACTCCCTCTGCGTCCAGTCCGCTCCCTCATCTGAAAGGTTAATGTTGGGATTTTAGAGGCCTCATTAATGCTGTTGACGTTAATGGATTGCTGTTTTTTTTGTCTATTCAGGCGCATGGACATGGCCTTCTGCTATCCGAGACAGAGCTTTGGTTGTGTGAATTCATCCGATAGATTGGCCTTGCTTTCTTCATTTTGTCAGTTCATCCTATTTTAATCTTATATATGTGGCCTAAGAAAAATCTTTTGCATCAGCAACTTTTTTAAACCTCAAAACCACCTGTCTGACAGCAATTTCTATATTGCACTCTGGGAAGAAATGATTAATTTAATTATTATTTTCTATACTATTATTAGACAGATGTCAAAAAGACCATTTTCTTTATGATTTTAGGTTTTAATGATTCAATAATCAATTGAGGCGAGAAGATGCTTAAATGATTGGTAAAAATGATATATTTTGGTATTTTGACCATAATTTAAACTATAGAGAGTGGATTTGGATTACCCTTGACACATTTTAAATTGTCTACATTTCTTGCGAAGGCATTGAAATCTAGTTCTTATGTTTTGATGGCCAAATATTTGAATTACCGAACTACTTTTCTGCTGTGATGATTTGCATCGATTTTCATAAATGCTGATTCCATCTCCTTGGTAGAGATATTTTCACATTAATTCAGTGGTAAAAGCACAACAGGAAACGAATCAAAGTGAAACAAAGCAAGGTGAATTTGACCATGGATTCAATTGTGCATCAAGGTGAATTTGAATAGCTTCGTCTCAGAGACCGAAATAGTGTAAGAAATCCAGTTTAGAATTCGTCCAGCCTAGAATTCGTTCGTCATATCGACAGAACAGTGCGCAAGTTGCACAGGTTGTAAGATTTTTCTATTCCCTATATATAGAGACTTTTATGGACAATTTTAGAAGCACAAGGAGAAGAAAAATACTACAAAAAACAAAAAATGTAGATCTAAAACTACAAACTCTTGTTAGGTGAGCTTAGATTAGAGCGGTTAAACGAACCCAGCTGTTCGACTCGTTCGTGTTTGTGAAAGGCTCGTTCGAAACCTTAGACAAATCGAGTTCAAACAAATTTTTTTGTTCGATTAATAATTGAGCGAACACGAGCACGTTCACAAGTTTTGACGAACGTTCGCAAACAGACATAATTGTCATTTGACAAATTTTAGGGTTAATTTTATGGCTGAACTTTTATATTTGGAGGGCAAATTGCTTTGTTTTTTTTTTTTTTGTTTTTATGTTAATGTTAGTTATATAGTTAACGAATAATAGAATTTAGTAACTTAGTACTTTAATTGTTTTTGAGGATGATTAATGATTTGTATGGCATGTTTAAGATTTAAAATAATTTGGATTCGAGCTTTTCGAGCATGTTCGCAAACAACTTGTTTTTGTTAAACAAGCTGAATACGAACTTGAACTCGAACATAAACATTGCTTAACGAGCCGAACACAGGTTTGGAATTCAAAAATTAACGAACAAACACGAACATTGTTCGAATCGCTTAACGAACAGAACTCAAACATAAAATACTTGATTCGATTCGGCTTGTTTATAGCTCTAGCTTAGATTAGGTAGGTTTTATCCAAACTTTGTATGGAAAACATGGATGAAGATTGAGGATAAAAATGGAGAGATTAGAGGCTCATATGACAACGGTTTTTTCTCTCTAAACTTTTTAGATCTTGTATGTATTTGTTTCTAATATTTGGTTATAGTAATACAAGTTTGGTTCTTGTTTTCATTTCCTTCATGTTTTGCTGAGTTTATACTTAGGGTTTGAATGAACTTTCTCTGATTGTCATATGTTCTTTTCTTGATTATTTGATACTATTGTTTTGAACAAATTATTTATCACTTTTGCAATTACAATCATGATTAATTCATCATAGGTTGTGATTATTTGAAAGTTATCGAATCATCAATGAAAATTGGGATCTAATATTAGTTCAAGAAAGTGGTAAATCTATGGTACACTAATGAAAGTAGAGGAGTAACCCTTATGGCTTTTACCCAAGTAATTTCATCAAATCTAATGACCTTATAGCTAGTTTTACAACTATAAAAGTAGGTTTGGATTAGTTATAGGTATAATTTGTATATTGACGAAGGTAGGTATCACAAATATTAATTAGAAAATTATGCCATAATTTAGCCCATATAATCAAATTCGTTTAACCGGTAACTTTATTAGCAAGAGTATTTAGAAATTACATAATTCTATGAGCTTTTTCATTCTTGATTTTACTACTTTTGTTTCATGTTTGTAGGATAGGTTTACTTATTTTTAGTTGTGATTGTCTAAATAATAAAAGAGTTCCAATAGCATCATTAATTGATCCATCTTTTCTATGGAATCTACACTCGAATCCTCTCTATACTCATGTATTATCTGTGCACTTATAGTAGTGAAAATTTGAATTTAATTAAAACTTTACAATCACATCCTAGGAAGTTAAAAAAGTAAAACGTGTCACTAAAAGTTAAAAAAAAATCACATTGATGAAGTATAATCATGCAACAACTAATAAAATTACCAGATCAACAGGCATAAAGTTTGTTCCAATGGACATACCAATGCCATTCCAATTTCCTATACCTAAATATGGAACATGAGTTGCACCAATCCTTCCTCTCCCTCTACAAACTCTTACCCAGCTGCTCTTCTTATATCTCTATTTGATATTAAATTGGTTCCCCTAATATTTTGCCCACTTTGTAATCCAGTTGATGAAGCCTTATTTACATTGTAATCTCTTCCTTTTGATGAAGTTCTATGACCACTATTACCCCTTCCTGATGAGGTTCCACTACCACCACTATTACCCCATTCCCTACATGTACTACCAGTAAGATTTAATTATGAAATTTACACCATATTTAGTCACTCCCCATATTTCTTTACTAGTTGGAATAGTTTCATAGTCGATTGACTTAGCTATAATTTCTTCCAACTTGTCATGTATCCTTGCCCATAGATGTGGCAGTATTGCACTTAACCACTTGTATGCATCTACATCTGCATCTGCATCTGTTGCCTGCGATTCTACTATTTTTCTACTCCATCTCTTGATGCTGCTCACGTTATGCCTCTAAGAGACTTATCCTTAAACCAAAGTTAGCCTACTTTTGTCTTACGCAGAATCTATGTTCGGCTCTGGGGAAAAGCTCATCAAATGTGTCAACAAGCCCCTCCCTTTTAAGCATTTTTCATGAGTGCATGCACAGCTTGCTTCGTCTTCTGATGGCATGGATTGATCTAGTTTTTTTTTACTGCCGCAACACGTACCGATATAGGCATATGTAACATTTTATTCCACCGCGCAACTTGGGGATTATGCCTCCTAATCACAACATAGAAGGGCAAAACATTAACAGCCACCAAACTATTTAACTTACGCACTTTTTTCCATTCAACAATTTTTTTTGTTCCAATATGGTCACTAAACTTAATTTGGTATAGTAATGATCATTCCTTCAAATGTTACCGTTAATGCTAATAAAATGAGCTCTATATGCATTCAAGTGCCAAAATACAAGGACGATTTTGTCCAACCATAGGCAACAAATTTTATTGACCATCAATCTATTCACATTGTACATTTTTTTTTGCCACTAAAGGATTTTTCGTTTCGAATTGTTCATTGAACTTAGCAAAGTGGTATACTAGTTGCAATTTTATCAGTTTTTCTTTAAGATCTTTATTTTATTACTTGATTCTAGATTTTGATATTAAAACGTCAATTTTAAAATTTTTTTTCATCTAGAGTTTTTAGATTTTTCAGTAGTACAAAAATTAAATTTTGAATCACTACGGTTGAGGTATCAAAACTTAAGGCCATTAATATACACATTTGTGAGTTGAGTGGCCATATTGAATTAAAAAAGAATTAACTTTTTATGCATTAACAATGTAGTGATTTTTTATATTAGTAGCTATAGATGTATGCTACATGTGCATAATTTGATTTTTAAATTTAAATGAATGTTATGTTGTATGATTTAAACTTGTTAGTATAAAAATATTTGTACATTGATAGTGTATAAAAAAGGGTTATTATCACTTTACCCCCTTAAACTTTATCACTACTATCAGTTTACCTTCTAACGTTATCCTTTAGTCACTTCACCCTATAAGTATTTTTTTTTAGCGTAAGCAGGAGGACTCGAACCCGAGACCTCTTGCTTACATTCCCTCCCTCCCTCCCCCACTTCACCCTATAAGTAATTCAACTCAATATGTTAAGAAATTTTGGACAAAAAAACCTCTTTATTCTATAACATTATCACATTGTTATTATCACTTTATCCCTTGAAATTGTAGTGATACAATCGCTTTAATTCCTAACAATATTTTCTAAACATTTTATCTCATCGTTAACGTAACTAGTATAGTCAAAAATTTTTAAATATATTTACCCTTTTTATGTATATATAAAAATAAAAAAGTTGGAAAGGTTATTTTTCCTTTTTTTCACTTTAAAAGATCCCAAAAATATAAAAATAAAATGATTTTTCTCAAAAAGGAAATAGAAAATTAGATTTTACAAAAAAAGAAAATAAAAAAGATTTTGACATTATCTTTTACGTTAAGGTTGTCGAGAAAGAATTGGAATTTGGCGGTAAATAGAAAAGTAAAATAATTTTAAAATAATAAAATTATTTAATTCTTTCTTATTTGTATTTTTTTAAAAAAAGAGTTGAGCTCTCTCTCTCTCTCTCCCTATCCCCATCTTTTTATTTTTTTCAATATTAATAAGATTGTCAAGAAGAAAAAGATTAGCACTTTGACTTATTTTCTTGATACTAAAAAGGATAAGAGCCGCTCTAAATTTTTTATTATACAAAAAGGAGGGTACTTTTTTCGAATGTTCTTTAACTTTCTAAATTGATTTAATGGTGGAATAAATTGATAATGAGGTTATATATTATGGGAGTAAAGTGATAATAATTTTCAGGAGTAAACATGTCTTTTCACTTTAATTAACAAATTTGGTTAAATTTCACCGTTGGTCTTGGGAGTAAAGTGACTAAAAAGTAACGTTAATAGAAAAATTGAAAGTGGAATCGAACGTTAACATGGTAAAGTAATAATAACCCTATAAAAAACTTACTCATTAAAAAAAATTGTTAAATCTATTAAAAGTGTATGAACAAAAAA